CTTGATTCGCCAAGTTTAGTCAATTCAAAATGTTAATTGTGTTACTGGGAAACTAATCATAAAAATAGAACCACTCAATCGAGATAAGTGCCTCGATGTTCCCAACTAAGATTTATCAATTGGCAGTGTTTACTTCAGTGAGTACTTGCAATTAAATTAGCAGTTACATTATGACACATAGTTGTACTTTTAAAAATTATCAATTTAATTTTAATAAATTTAATGTTATAAATTGTACGTTGATAAAAATCACATTACTTAATGGATGAATTATACCAAATTCAAAAAGTATAATTTAAAAGCAGCAATTTGAAATTATATTAAAATTAAGTTAATTCTGTATTCAACCAAATTTCATAGATTATAATTTAATATTAAATTCGTTATATTTTGCTTGTAGCACATGCTTAACGAATTGCGTGCTAAATTTATATTTGGACTGTGTGTTTACAATCTGTATAATTTGATCCTTAACCACAGGGAATGGCATTGCCCAATTTTTCTCATTCTCCAAAATATTGCTGCACGTTGGCCTCCCAGCGAATACAAATTGAACGCAATCAAGTATCACATTGATGATTGATTTGTAATAGTGTTGACACTCGTTCATTTCAAAACTAAAAGTTATATTAAAATTAATTCATATTTACATTATGTTAAATATGTACAATATCCCTTGCGTATTGGGAATCAGATTTCGTGAGAAAATGATAATTAAAAGTTTGTGTCAAAATAACTAGTGTAAATTGTTGTTGGATTAAAAACATTTCGCGACATTAGTTACAAAGGCCAGGAATTCGACAATCAATTTCCGCGTATTTATGTCAACAAAGTTTTAATCAATTAAATCATGTGACAGTACAATATGTAAGCACTAAAACATTGATTGTCTTATTGTTTGCCATTTGTTGGCAAAGATGTCAAATGTTTTAAAAGTTGTGTAATTCAATTAATATTTATAATCATTTTCCCACAAAAACAAGGTTCACAATATCCAGGGTGTAGCGAATGTACAATACTATTAATATAAATATATTTAAAAATAAATTACTCAATGTTTAAATTCATATTAAATAGCTTTTCGATTATCATTCCAATGGAATAAATATCCGCCTTTTCACTGTAGTATCGGCTCATTGAAATCTCAGGCGCCATAAACCTTTCGGAACCGACACCTTGCGTATGGGAATCGTCATTTTGAATATGCTCGGATGCTAACATAAAATCTGTAATCTTAATGTAATTTGCGTGCAATCCCGGCTTAATTAATATGTTGTTAGGTTTTAAATTACGGTGAATAATTGGCGGTGCATTATTATGTAAATAATTTATGCCGCTTAAAATTTCCTTTAAAAATTCCGAACATATATAATACCCCATTGATGGTAACGGTTCGTTGGGTTTGACATTAAAATAATGACAAATTTTATTAATCGCTTTACCCAATGAGAACCAGCATAAGTCCATTTGTATGTGGAGGCTAATAGTGTGAGACCCTGTATCATTATTTAATTCGTAATCAAACCAATGGTGCCTATACTGCACAATATAGTCGGAATCCAACTGTGCCAAAATTCGAAATTCTCGTAATAATTCCGGAAATAGCTTATCTAGGTGAAAAATATGCTAAAATAAAATAAATGATAATTATACAAGCTAATTACTACCCGGTGATTTTATCACTTTAATGGCATAATTGCATTCAGCGTATTTGTGTCTAGCTTTATAAACAGTCGCAAAACTCCCTTTGCCAAGTGTTTCCAATATTTTAAATTCGTGTTGATAAATGTTCTTATCAGAATGATTTAATATTCGTCGGATATACGTGAACATGTTAAAAGGTTTATCAAGTTCAAGTTTTTCCATTTCAACAACGTTCATATTAAATTTTTCGATCTCAGCAAGCTTACTATTTATCATGTGATTGAACGTAAAATCAATAGAATTTTCAATTGATATTTTATGTAACAGTTTAATTGACCTGCTACTATTTGGCCTATCCATTGAATACGAGCTTCGTAATTTAGATATATAATCCTTTAAGTGGCGCATTGTAGGTGTTAATCGTTTACACCTTAAAAATTAATTTAGCTTTTTTAATGAATAATTTATTTACATAAAATGTAACATATTAAAATAGTATTCGCAAATATTATTTTTCTAAGAATTAAAAAATATTTAACTCACAATTCAAATTCATATATATATTCAAATATTACGCCAATACTGTATATGTCTGCGCTGGTAGTATATTTTTTATACTGATTAACTTCGGGAGCTATAAATGGGTTAGTTCCCACATACATTGTATGATCCTGGTGTTTGTTATGTGGGATGGCAGTGCCAAAATCGCAAATTTTAATTTGAAATTTACGAAAATTATTTTGCATAACGCACATTATATTTCCTGGTTTTAGATCCCTATGTATTATTGCGGGTGTACAGGTGTGCAAAAAGTTGACACCCTGTAATATTTCGTTACAAAGGTATACACCCACGGACATAAATTCATTATTAGAATAACAATGCTCATTTACTATCCTATACTCCCGAATAGCCTTAATTAGGTGCCCAAAGTCGTACGAGCATAAATCCATTTGAATGTACAAGAGCCTTTGTGACTTATCATTCCATTGGAGCCAATGGGTGTGGTATTGGACCAAGTACTCCGATTGTAGCTTGGCCCAAACGCGAATCTCCCTAAGCACTTGGTTAAGATTCTTATTTATACCTTGTTCAACTTCCTTTACCGCATAGTATCGGCCCGAAAATTTGTGTCGTAGTTTGTAGACATTATTTACAGCGCCTGTGGATCTGCTGACACAATTACTTTCACAGGGTTTATTAAAATGTCCCTCGAGCCTCTCTGAATAAATTGGTTTCATTTTAACAGAAACATTCAATAGAATATTTTCGTATAAATTTAATAATTTAATAATTTCACAACAGTGTATATATTTAAGTTTTTTAGAAAATGAATTTTTATTATATTACATAATATATATATATATATAATATATTACAATATACTTAAATTCAATAGTTTTAATTTTTATCATATAAATAATTACTAGTGTAGACAACACTTTTCGACATTGGAGGATTTCATAATAATTAACCAAACAGACATTTTTGACGAAATTTTGAAAAGTTAAAAACGAGCTTGCTTAAATCTTAAAAAATTTAAGGTTTTTAGTTGGATGAACACTGTATAGATTTCGTTGCTCATTTGTTTGGAGATTTAACTATGGATTAAGGTTTAGTTTTTAGTTTATGTGAAATTCGCAATTTTAAGAAACAAGGAAAATCTTATTTGACTCAAGAGACCTTACAGATATCATCTAAATTTCTACAAATTGATTTTTTTGTATATTTGACTAAAGCATTCATACACAAAAATTAATTTTCTAATAAGTTAATGTGTTTTGTAGTTTGAATAGATTTCATCATATTAATTAATCGGTATGGTAAATGTGACGTTACATAACTGATATTTAATAAATAATATTATTTTATAATTTATTTAAGTTAAATGAATTTATTAAATTGTAATTATTAAAAACAATTGTTAGATTGAAGGATAATCATTCAGAATGAATGCCGTTTGGCATCGCTAATCGTAACACCTTTATTTTTTAGATAATAATAATCTTTATAATAGACTAGATAAGACAAATATGTGCCATTTAAATAACCTCTGTTATTTATTATATATTAAAGATTAAACAGGCATATTACCAGGGGACGAATGCCTAGACAGAACCGGTTCAAATATCATAAAACCTTTATTACAGTAAATATATTACATAAACTACATACAAATGTCAGTTATTAAAGTAAGTAAAAGGTATCTACATTAATTTTGATATAATATAATATTTTGAAATATATATATAATTTTGTGCCAACAAAGCATGATTAGAAATTTAATTTATTTACAACATCTATACTTATCATAAATCTCAATGAAATATACTAATCTATACTGGTTGAAATAGATTAACATGCCATGTCGAATTACAACTATAATCCATCGATATTAGTGTATATTTGTGTTCAATGCTTGACAATATAGATAACAAATTATGGACATAGAGAATGTAGAAATATTATATTATTTTGTATCTTTATTTAACTCGCTACCTTTTAATATTATATTTAGATGTAATTGATAAATTCTTATAATATTAAATAAGCATTGTGTAATTAATTGTTTCATTCAATATAAAAATATTATTTAATTTAAAAATTTAATCGCTTAACAAGTGTTTGCGTGTTTATATAATTGCTTCACAATAATTAATATTTAAAAATTATTAACAAATGTTTTTATTTAGTACTCACCAAACAGTGTGTACTTGCACTTAGTTTTAAATGTAAACAATTAAAGCATATTTTAAAATATTGTACATTAATTTAAAAATATGATTGTACGGTAACATTAAAAATTTTATTTCAATAAACATAGATTATAATACAAGCTAGAATAATTATAGTTGAGTTACAAACATTATCATAATAAAATATAAGACAATAACAAACAAAATTATTATAAAATTTGTAAAAGAATTTTCCTTCTGTACATTTTGATATATTTTTAATTTTTAAAACTTTAATCAATAAAATAATTAAAATTAATAAATGTAATGTGTTTAAAATAACATTACCGCAACGATATACAGTATATTAAAATAAATCAAATAAACGAGTTAAATTTCGTGCTAAAATTATCAATTTTATTTAAAATATAATCAATGCAAAATACATAAATAAAACAAATTTAAGAAATATTAATCAAGTCCAATTAGTACATTGCTTAATTAGTTATAGGCGGGTTGTAGGCAAAGAATGAGTGGTGTCTAGTATCCAAGGTGCATTGCTGATTGCATTTGGTACCCGATATCTTAGCGTTAATATAGTCAATGGACACTGACTTTAATCCCTGTCCACTGCAACCCAACTGGTCATCGGCCACATAGGCATTAGCCGAGAAAAAGGTGTCACCAGCGCAGTCACCACCGGTAATTTGCCCAAAGTTCACCTCGTACATATTACCTAGGTAACAAAATAGATAATTAATTTAGCATGCTACTTATTCTGAAAACTGCTACTTACCATTCAGGTAGGAGTAGTATTGGGAGAAGTTGCCTATAACAAGGTCCTGGGCCTGTCCGTTGACCACGGTGTTATATGTCCAGGGTGACACCCAAGCGTCGTAGCCGTTGCACGTGGTGCTCGAGTTAGGGATAGTCGTGTTTAACATGATTTCCTGTACGGGACCGCCGGTGCACACAATGCGCTTATAGATAGTCATTGTTGTGGTCTTGTCGGGTGTAATACCTAGAGTTTAATAAATTTAGCCAGGTTAACATTCAGACAGTAAGTTTTCAAAATTAGGCTTTTGGTAGTTTTTATTTGTACAATAATGACTATGGTTGGCTTATTTAAGTATAATAAAATCTAACAGTATTAAAAATTATATATGTATTATATTTGTACTACAATTAATGAGTTGGTTATTTTAAAATTCCTTATTAAATTATCCAGATCATATTTAAACTTACGGATAGATTTGCCAGGGACAGAATTGGGCATTTTGGCGGCATTTGCAGCGGTAAAGTCACCATTATTTCGGACAACTATTTAATTATTATAAAAAAAATTATTTCTAATTTAAAACATTATAATATTACAACTTACCAGGGAAAGCACCTTGCCGGGCACCGGGATGGTTAGACATAAATCCAAGACCTGGGAAGTGACCTAAAAAGTCACCAACAGGTCCCAACATACGGGCCTCGGGCTGGTTGGCCATGACCATGGCTAAATAAAAAATTTTATTTATTTAACATGGCACATTTAATTGTACAATTTTAAATCATACCGGCACAGGCAATAAACACAATGCAAGCTAGTTGATTCATTTTTGTTATAAATTAGATTATTTGTATTTTTAGTAATACAATTTCTAAATGTGATTTATCCTAGTACAATTGTGGTGCTTATATACTATTTTTTAATCCGCATGATATGGTATAATTAATTACAATTTTGCCAGATTACGTAAAATTTATAATTAATTATATTACGCCATAAGGTATATTGTGTATAGCGAATTACCGTGATACAAAATTGTTCTTGTTATGACATAAATAAAATGATTCATACAGTGTAATCGAGCTATGTAATCATGTAGTCCTGGTGCAATCTGTACAGTTTTATCATTAATTATGAAGTTTTGTTAAATTAATTATAAATATTTTCAATAAAACAAACATTGTGGTATTTGATATGACAAGGTTAAATAATGAAGTAATATGTTTAAAGTTATATTGATATTTTATTATAAAAAATAATTATTTCATAAAACTTGATCCATGTAAGCTATGTTATTTTGTATTCTTAATTAAATAAAATTATGCATGACCATTATAGTTTATTTATTAAATAAATGTACCGTATATTGTTTTTAAGCAAATATTTTGTTAAACATGTTTTATGTAAGTTATTGACTGTTTTATTTAAAATTAAAATTCTCATGATAAAACAGAATAATATACATATTTAATTAATAAGCAAACTTATCATATTATAAATTGTAGTAGAATTACAAATTAAAATTAAAGCAATATTATATTAACAAAATTTTGATTACTGTAAATATAATATAAATTATAAAAATATCCTGTACATTCTGTACACGTTATGTATAGTTACTAGAGTAACACACTGTATGACCAAAGCTGTTGTATAAGTATATTATGTTTTGTAAAATTTGCGACTTATTATTTTTATAAACCTGGTCTAATGTTTAGCAAATCCAACCAGAGAGTTTGTGTAGCAGGGAACATTTAATCGTTATAACAATTAATCAAACATTTAAGCGATCAATTAATTTTGAGCATGACTTTAGTTTAAAGAAAATTTTATTATTTTAAATCAATAAATACCGTAGTACCCGCTAATTACCCATGCGGGTATAAATTAATTTTGATATGTAATTAAAAAGTAAGTGAAAAAAATTAGTGAATTTTGTTTTATAGTGTAATTCTTTATTTGAGAAATGTTTAAATAAAATATTAACACATATTAGTCCCTCACCTAATTTTATTTAATAAATTTAATAAATTTTGTTTTAATAAATTTAATAAATTTTGTTTTAATAAATTTAATAAATTTTGTTTTAATAAATTTAATAAATTTTGTTTTAATAAATTTAATAAAAATAATTTTAAAAATAAAAAAGAAACAAATATTTTTACATGAATTAAGCATTAGACAATTAGTAATGAATTTACAGTCAATTTATTATTATTTTAATTATCTAGTTAATTTAGATATTTAATATATTGTAAAATTATTTTGTAACATTTTAATCATATTTATTGTTATAGAAAAATTATATCTGTTATTTTAACGGTAATTGTACATGTTCATCTGAACTTTTAATATAAAAATAATTAAAANATTTAGATATTTAATATATTGTAAAATTATTTTGTAACATTTTAATCATATTTATTGTTATAGAAAAATTATATCTGTTATTTTAACGGTAATTGTACATGTTCATCTGAACTTTTAATATAAAAATAATTAAAAGTAATTTTGTTTTATAATTTAAAGTTGTTTAACACATTAAAGTTATATTTTAATTTTGTTAGACCTGAAGATTAAAAACAAATAAAAATAAAAATCACAATTTTTTAAACTTAATAAAAAAAATTTGTAAGCAATGCTATAGAAACCCACACTTACAGTGAATTTAATATAATTACTGTCTATTATATACAGAATATTAATAATAAGTTTCAATGCTCTTTTCTTTAAACTACCTAGGTTTTTAAACTAATCAAGTTGACAATCGAACAGTTCTTATTTAGTAAAATAAAAGAGAATGATTTGGTTTGTTCGACAATACAATAATTACAAATTTATTTTAATGAACTATTTGTAAATAATTTTAAATTAAATCGTGTTTTTTACATTTGTTTAATTGTATAACCTAATTTACAATTGAGTATTTATATCATTAACATTTTTTGATGTATTGCTATTTTGCTCATCACTTTTAATATGACATAACTTTTGTATTTAATTTAGCACAAAAAATGTAAACTTTAATTGTATAACCTAATTTACAATTGAGTATTTATATCATTAACATTTTTTGATGTATTGCTATTTTGCTCATCACTTTTAATATGACATAACTTTTGTATAATAGCCGCCAGAAAGCAATCGCCAATAACGTTACCCATTGTGCGCACCCTTTCCCTGGTACAATTATTTTAATTTTATAAAATTATTAGATCATTTTTAAAAGAAACAATTTAAATAGTACAAATAATTAAAAAAACATACATGAGCCAGTCCATTGTCATTGTGTACGCGAGTATATCCAACGGGTTATCAATCCCGATGACTGAGCAAAATGCTATGAAATTAACTATAGATGAACCACCAGATGGTGCACCCGGAAAGGCCATCGACATTATCAAGGAGAATATACTAAAAAATTAAAATACTCTATGTAATTATTTATATTTAGGTCATATTTTTATGCTATTTTTGTATTACCATAATGTGACGAGTATTTGAAAGGTAACATTCATGCCATGCATTTGTGCCACAAATAACGTAACCATCGGGTAATACATGGCGCTGCCATTCATGTTAATGGTCATACCCAGTGGTAAAACAAACTGGGACACCGTTTTGGCTAGTTTATTTTTTCTTTCCATGCAATCTATGGTAACTGGAAGTGTCAAGGCACTAGTGTCAAATATAAATAGTTACGTTATTTATTAAATTTTATTATTTTGATTAAAACCTCGAACTCGAACCAAATGACACAATCATAGCCGGAATTATATTAACCATAAACTTGAACGGATTTTTACGTATTATTAAAAAATATAGACCAGGGTAGACTAATAGCCATATAATTGCGAATGCCAGTAATGCGGTAGCGAAAAACCACGCAAGTTGACCTAGTATCTTTTCTGGTGATTTCATTTTGATGGCTTCCACACACATCCAGCAAAACATTCCGATCGGCATTACTCTACAAAAATATTTAAAAATTAAAAATTTTTATAAAAAAAATTAATTATTTTATACTTAATTAAAATCATGATTATATGCATCACTATATCGTTAGTCTCGACTAAAATCCGGCGAATAGTGTCTGCCTTTGAGTCCAACTGTTTGACAGCGAAGCCCAGTATTAGTGAGAATACACACAACCCTAACATATTTGGTTTGAACGCCCTTTCGGCCAGTTTTTTGTACCCAAGGGTCAGGTTATGCGAGTCGATGGGCACGAGTGCCGTGTAATGAGTGCTAAATGTGGCGGCGATTATGTTATCCGGTATGAGATTCCTATGAATTCATACAAACTTTTCATATAATTATTGTATTGAATACAGAATATTATGTGAAATACAAACATAAACACATCGTATATACTCTCGTCCTGACTGGCAATCATTTGCTTGATATCAACACCAGGGTCTCCACTATTGTCTACTACCAATTCACTATCAGTCGACATAACCCTAACACCGGGTTTTATAATACACATCAAAACCGTACCAAATATTGCCGTAAATGACGAGAACATGACAATAAATACGAATGTCAATACAATTAGCCGTTTATTATCTCCACGTTTAGTATTAGTTATGCCTTTAATACGGAAATAATTATTTGTTTTAAATTAAATAAATTTTAATTTATATTACAATACTTGTGGCCAGAGATGAGACAATAAGAGGCACTATAATCATCATAAATGCCCTGATAACTAGTTTTCCCGGGAGTCCGATATAAGTCAATACGAGCGGACTTATAGTGAATATGGACTTCATTATAAATCCACAAATGAGTCCCAATATAGCACTTATTATAATCAATAGGGAGTAGACATTGTCCTTGCACCAAACCTATTATTGGTATATAATATTAAACATTAATTAAAATAATAAATCAAAATTAAACATACTTTAAATGCTTGTAATTCCATTTTAAATAACTGTAAATGTTTTAGTCATTAGTAGAAAATTAAACACAATTATTGATTTAATATATTTGCTATATTAATTGCATAGTTTATTTTTATAGTTTATATAAACGTTAATATAAATAAATAGTTATGAGATTGTAATCACAAATCATATTTATTAAACAGTTGTCAATAAATTAGATATAAAGCAAGATTTAAAAAATAATTTTTTCAAATTGCTCATTTACACTTCAATGATACAATAAATATGTTAATAAACTTTAAAATAAAATTTATTATATTTACAGCATTAATCATATTAAAATAAATTGCATATACAAGTACATAACAAAATTAAATAAGTAATTTGTTAAAAAATATTATGTATGATGCTCAATATTTTCATGTGCACATGTTTAATGTACTGAATATGTGTTTGTGATAAAAGTATACAGGGTTTATTATAACATGTCATTTAGGTTATATTTGATAACACGTAATATGGATGTGAATAAATATTATTGACACAAATACACAACTTATTTGATAATAAGACAATTAAACTATCTAGATTTGTTTGTATATTATTTAAAATATTTATTCAGAGTACGGCTTTGTAACCTTGATACCATATAAATGCGTTTGTTTAAAAAATACTTTATATTACTTATTTTAAAATTA